TGTTTTAGTAATTGTATCTTACTAAATAATATATATTGTATATGACTAAATAATATAATTTTCGTTTGGTTCTTTTTTGTAACATTTCCCTCCCCTCCCCTTCCCTTCCCTCCCATGTTCAAGGGATTCTCCTGCCTCAGCCTCCCAAGTAGCTGGGATTACAGGTGTGTGCTGCCAAGCCCAGATAATTTTGGGGGGTTATTTTTGTTTGCTTCTTTGTTTATTATTATTATTATTGAGACAGAGTCTCACTCTGTCACCCAAGCTGGAGTGCAGATTTTTTATTTTTTATTTTTTCATCTGTTTTAAGAACATTTGTAATTTTTTATTGAAATTGTTTTTAAAGATGGTTGCTTTAAATCCTGGTAAGATGATTTCAGAATCTGATTCTTCTCAGTATAAGCATTAGTTGATTGTTTTTTGTCTTTCAAGTTGTGATCTTCCTATTTCTTGGTGTGATGGGTGATTCTGGATTGACTTCTGGATATTAAGAGACTCTGGAGTCTATTTAAATCTTTAATTTTAGAAGAGTTATTTAGGTTTAGAATATAGTATCTAGGCCTTGGTCTACTTTTTGTGGTGGGTTGTGCTTCCAGTGACTATCTAGTCTTCAGAGCCTTTGTGGCACTATTTTGGTCTGCTCTGGGTCATCTACTGGCACCTGTTAGTGTTGCCTGAATGAGTGGAAAGAGCTTGTCCAGGCTGGGCCAAGGTGGGGAAAGGGATTCTCCAGTCCATGTGGAAGTAGAGTGCTTCCTGTATGGCACTCTCTATATGGTGGAATTTCCACCTGCCTGTACTAACCAACTACCTGGCATTGCTAGGAGTGTGTGTGTCTGTGTGTGTGTGTTTGGGGCGGGAGAATGGGGATTCCCAGGTCTGACTGCGCTAGTGATTGCTGTGGCAGGATCCCCTATGATGGTAATGTCCATCCACCTGTTGTTCTAGATGGGAGAGGAGAGTCTCAGGCCTGATGGGATCTCCTCTGGCTACCTATGGTTAGTGAGATTTCCAATCAATCCCTCCAGGCTTACCTGGTGTTGTTAGTAGGGCCCTTGTTCCACTGGGGGAGGAATAAGTCTATGTAGGCCATCTTCTAGTGCTAGGCTTGGGGTTATAAGATGCCCCACTAACATGATAATCCTCCAGTCCTGGGGTCTCCCTCTACCCAGTCCAATTTCCTTTTTATTTCTTTTTCTTTCTTTCTTTTTTTTTTTTTGAGTTGGAGTCTAACTCTGTCGCCAGGCTGGAGTGCAGTGGTGCAATCTTGGCTCACTGCAACCTCCACCTTCCAGGCGCAAGTGATTCTTCTGCCTAAGACTCCTGAGTAGCTGGGACTACAGGCATGTGCCATCACACCTAGCCAATTTTTGTATTTTTAGTAGAGATGGGGTTTCACTGTCTTGGCCAGGATGGTCTCGATCTTTTGACCTCGTGATCTGCCCTCCTCAGCCTCCCAAAGTGCTGGGATTACAAGCGTGAGCCACTGTGCCAGACCCCAATTTCCTTTTTCTACCTGTTAGAGTTCTTGTTTGTTGTTTCTAGTGTTCATAGTACTCAGCAGGAAGGAATGGAGAAAAACATATCTACAACACCTTGTTTGGACACATTATATACTTATAAAAAGAATGTGAGATCAAGAAGATATATTGACTGACAGAAAAATCAATAATTGTAGTAGGAAAGTTTTACATAATCCTCTGAAAAACGAATATATCAAATAAACAAAAGGAAGGAGAGCTTTAGAAGTTTCAGTAACAGGATTATGAACCTCAAGATAACAGATCTACATGCAACTTCACATGCAACAAACAGAGAATATACATTCTTTTCTAGCACACATGCATTATTCAGGAAAGTTGACCATATGCTAAAACACAGATGACTCTTCAATGAATTTAAAATAATTCATACACATCTATACCACTATATATAGAGAGAAATACAATGTAAGTGACATATGTAATTTTAACTTTTAGTCACTATATCTTAAAAACTTTTTTAAGAGGTGAAATTAATTACATAAACATGTTTATTTATTTATTTATTTATTTATTTATTTATTTAGAGATGGAGTTTCACTCTTGTTACCCAGGCTGGAGTGCAATGGTGCAATCTCGGCTCATGGCAACCTCCGCCTCCTGCGTTCAAGCAATTCTCCTGCCTCAGCCTCCCAATTAGCGGGGACTACAGGCGCACGCCACTATGCCCAGCTAATTTTTGTATTTTCAGTAGAAACGGGGTTTCACCTTGTTGAACAGGATGGATGGTCTCGATCTCTTGACCTCGTGATCCACCCGCCTCAGCCTCCCAAAGTGCTGGGATTATAGGTTGAGCCACTGCGCCTGGCCTCATAAACATATTTATTAACTCAACATATCCAATATATTTTTATTTTACTCCTCCAGGACATGTACCTCTCGGCCAGCCAAGCAGCTTTGTTCTTTTGTTGCAGGCCTAAGTAACAGCCCACAGGCTTTGCCTAGAAGACATGCTCCCAGGACAGCCAAGCAGCTGTGCTTCTGTGTCCAGGGTCTGAGAAACAGTGCCACAGGCCACCACTGGCAGGCACCCTCTAGGCTGGCCAGGCAACAATGCATTCGTGTCCCCATTTAGAGTTAATAGCCCCATAGCCCCAACTCCAGTGATCCAGAGCCCGAGTTGGCTGAACCACCATGTGCACAAATGAGCCTGTGACTTGAGAAACAGCCCTGTGCAAAAGCCACATGACCACTACTACCATCTCTCAGCCTAGGCCACTGAGACATTCACAAATGTCATTAGCTTTTTTTTTTTTTTTTTTTTTTTTTTGAGAGTCTTGCTCTGTCACCCAGGCTAGAGTGCAGTTGGCTCACTGCAACCTCCACCTCCCGGGTTCAAGCAATTCTCTTGCCTCAGTCTCCTGAGTAGCTGAGATTACAGGTGCCCATCACTGTACCTGGCTAATTTTTGTATTTTCAGTAGAGATGGAGTTTTACCATCTTGGCCAGGCTGGTCTCAAACTCCTAACCTCAAATTCCCAAAGTGCTGGGATTACAGGCATGAGCCACCGCACTTGATCTGTCACTAGCATATATTACAGCTGAAGAAGCTACATAGAGAATACGCTACTGCATCCACCTAGAACGAAAGCCAACACATTTCATTGAAGCAACACCCCAAGACCCATTTAAATAAACCTTTCCCTACAGAACCTACTCCATGAAATTGGAAGAGGTGATTGTTTTATCATGCATTTCAAAATCAATGCAGAGCTGGGTGCAGTGGCTCACGCCTGTAATCCTTGCACTTTGGGAGGCTGAGGTGGGCAGATTGCTTGAGTTTATTCAGCCTGGCTAACATGGTGAAGCCTTGTCTCTACTAAAAATACAAAAATTAGCCTGGTATAGTAGTACATGCCTGTAATCTCAGCTACTTGGGTGGGTGTGGCAGGAGAACTATTTGAACGCGGGAGGTAGAGGCTGCCATGAGTTGAGATCTCTCCACTGCACTCTAGCCTGGGTGACAGAGCAAGACTCTGTCTTAAAAAAAAAAAGAAAGAAAAGAAAGGAAGGAAGGAAAAGAAAGAAATGTAGAAACACATGAAACATGAAAAAGCAAGGAGCACAACACCTCCAAAAGAACACAATAATTTCCAGGAACAGACATCAATCATAAGAAAGTATACAAAGTTCCAGAAAAGGAATTTAAAATAATAATCTTAAGGAAACTCAGTGGAATTCAAGAGCATACAATTACACAGTTCAATGAAGTCAAGAAAGCAATTCATAATTCGAATGAGAAATTTAACAGAGATATAAAAAAGAACCAAACAGAAAACCTAAAACTAATGAATTCAATGAAAAATACAATCAAGACTTTAATACAGACTAGCTCAAGCATAATAATTTCTGGGCCAGGCATGGTGGCTCACGCCTTAATCCCAGCACTTTGGAAGGCCAAAGCAAATGGATCACCAGATGTCAGGAGTTTGAGACCAGCCAGGCCAACATGGAGAAACCCCGCCTCTACTAAAAATATAAAAATTAACTGGGACTGGTGGTGCGCACCTGTAATCCTAGCTACTTGGGAGGCTCAAGCAAGAGAATCGGTTGAACCTGGGAGGCGAAGGTTGAATTGTGCCACTGTACTCCAGCCTGGGCGACAGAGTGAGCCTGTCTCAAAATAAAAATAAAAATAAAAATAAAAATAAAAATAAAAGAAAGAAAGAAAAAAGAAAGAAAGAAAAATAAATCCTGGCAGAAGGATTTCACAGTTGCAATTTTGCTTTCTTTACAATAGCATTTTTGTGGATGCCCAGAACATTCTGTTCAGAAACGCGGTCAGGAAGACAGGATCTAGAGCACAGGGGCAAAAATTGGCTGGATTTAGGTACGGCTCTTCTCCTGAGGGGTGTGGTTGGCGGTGGAGGTAGTGGCAAGCCTGAGGCTGTCCTAAAAGCTGGTTCTTGCCACCTCCTCATTCTGGAAGCGACAAAAAAGAGAGCAACAACTCAACTGTCTTCATTCTTGTCCCAGTAGAACCGAGCAGAACTATATCCTGAAGAGTCCGTCATGGAGAGTGTGGTGCAAAATGGAACCTGGATAAATATAAAATCAATCACTAAGGGATTTGGAGGAATGTGATAAGATATGTAAGTAGCTAGGAAACAGGAAATAACAAATAGGAATAACGGGACACTGTTGTGGGCAGAGGCATGTAAGATGGCCCAGGGAGGGCCCCAGCTCTCCATGAATTGGAACACAGCACTTCTGTGATAGGAGCCCAAACGCCCATCGGAGGACCACCTGCTTCGGCTGCAGGGGCGTGGGAACCACTGAACCAGAATGTGAGAGCGAGGCTCATTCGTTAGGATCCTGGAACGAGGCAGGACCTCAGGTGTGTGACTGTGGTGTTGGGCGCTGAGAAGTAGCGCTGCAGCCCTGTTTATTTCGGACTACATTACCCAGGAGCCTCTGCACGTACTTCCGATTCCGGCCCCTTTGTGTGTACGGGCTCTGCGCGCGGCGCGTCTTGTGTCCTTCCTGTCCTTCCCTACAGAGACCCTCCCCGTGTCTGGACCCGGGAGGAGCAGACGCTGGACAGGGTGTGGGTGTGCAGCAGTGGATTGTCAGACTTGGTGTCCCGGCTGCTCCCCAATTTGTGTGTGTGGCAGTGGGGTGCATGTGTGTTTCCTATCCGAGACACCTCCGGGTCGTTTGCTCGGAAACAGGCTGAGGGCCCGCGTAGCCTGGAGCACCTTGGCTGGAAGGTGAGGCAGGTAGCGAGCGCCCAAGGCTCCCATGCCCGGGCCAGGTCAGGCACCAACGAGTCCCTTAGGTCTGCAGTATGGTGGAACCGTTTTATAGACTGACAGTGTGAATGTAGGAGGGGGTGGATATCAGAGATCTGTTTTATCTGCATTTTCAGAGAGTGGTATTGCTCTTTGATATGAGTGTAGGCAGGTTACTCTCTCTGGTTCCTTTCTTTACTTATAATTTGAGGTTTGTTGTATTGTACCTACTTTTAAGTGGTAGTTGTGAGGATTAAATGGAATTTTGATATGCAACAGTTGACACAGGGCCAGACACCAACTCAGGCATCAATGTGTCGTCGATTTTATTAATAGTAGACATCCATCTCCCCATTTGTACATAAGAAGGAAACACCTAGCAAGGAAAAGTAACGTGTTCTGGGTCACCCAGCCAACTACCATATTGCAGAAATTAGAATCCAGGCACTCCCAGCAGGGGCCTTTCCACCACCCTGCACTTGTGTCTCCATCAGGAACCTTATCTTTACTGCTGTCTGTAACTGTCTGTGTTCCCAGTATCTGACTCTTCAGGGCCCTGGGTACTCAGACTTGCCTGTGTTTAGGGTTTCCTGAAGATTAAATGGCTGCTGAAGTTCTTAAGTTTAGCTTTTAGCTCAAAAGATACTGCTTCAGACTCTACATTCTGAGTAGAGTGTCAGAGAATGGAAAAAGAAATACAATGAAAAAGGAGAAAACTTCAATCCAGAATTGTTTGCCAGAGTTTCTGGGAAAATGCTGGCAATTCCCAGGAAGATATGTGGAGAATGGAAAGGTTGCTACATCCAAACAGTGGTGCAAAGGCTGTGATTATGGAGAGTTGGACCTGCAATCTCCAAAACAGAGGTAAGAAATAGAAATAAGAGAGGGTCCCACCGTTAGCTGGGAATCTACAGTGTGCACACACAACCTCATTTTAGTTTTTCTTCACAGCAACCTTGTAAAATGTGTGTGGGCAGCACAGAGACCTTGGGCAAGTTAACAGTTTCCTCATCTGTAAATAGTGATTTATGGAAAGTGCCTGGTACCTGAGTGTGCAAGAATGGTAATGATTTTGCTAATATTCCCTTTTTATTTGAAGCTCTGAAAAAACAAGATACCTTACTTCCATACTCTTTCCATTATACCAGCTGCCTCTCTGAAGGATGAGTGTAGGATAAGTCAGACTCCTTGGAAGAGGAGAAATAAATAGATATGGAGAAGCTGATGATTTGATTTTAGCATTATAGCACAGGGGCGAGCCCTAGTCCCTTGAACCTTCTGTGAGCTCAGGCCTGCATCCCCAGGATCCTTGGCCCTGCTGCTCGGTTCTGGCAGAATTAGGGACTGCTCCTCAGCTCCTTTTCAGTTTTGTCTTAAAAAGTACTTTCTCTTAAGGAGATACAAAGAGATGCCCCAGATTAGAAGGGACTTCCATAGTCTATCTTTAGCTTGTTTGACTTTCCTCTAATATCCTGACCTCAGCCCCTCTGATTTCTGGAAGACCTGGAACTTATGACTTCCTAACTCTGCCTTAGCCCTCATTGATTGTCAGTGTCCAGTACAGGGAGGGGCAGGCATCTTGCGGGGAGGTTGGGGTTTGGGATTATGACCAAACGTATCGATCATACCTTTTTTTCCTCGTAAAACAGTCTGTCAAAAGTGCCATGAAGTCTTGGTTAATGTTGATATACAGAAAATATTGAGAGTAACAATTAATTGACAATGAAATGACCTTTCCTGAGTGCCTATTCTGTACCAGATACTGGTTTGGCTGCTTATGTGCATTAATGCACATTTTAGCAAGGTAGATACTGTTATTATTCTCTTTTTTAAAATTAGGAATCTGAAGCACAGAAGAAATTTAGTTATGGTCATACAGAGCCAGAATGTAAAGGCAGCAGGCAGGCAGATTCCAGAGCCAGAGTTCCAGGGCTTGGAATACTGATGATGGGGTGGCTGAAGGTGTCTGTGACCATGACATCTGGGGTGGGCACTGCTGCCTTTTACTGCTGTGACTCCCTTTTTCTTGTATGAAATTGGTCACTTTCTCCATTTGCAAATAAAGGAGTTGAGCCTGGAGGTCTTTAAGCACCTCTCCAACTGTAACATTACACTTCTTGTTTTGTTTTAGGGATTTTTGGTCCCAGGGAACCTCATTTGCAGAGCAGTGGATCACACAGATCCTGAACCCAATAAATGGTCATACCTTTCCCTGACTAAGTTTATATTCTGTCCTCTGAGATTATCTTTGAAGCCTCATTATATAGATGTCTGTAAAATCCTTCAAGCTATGGACAGCCAAGGTCAGAGGCATATTTTGTCATAAGTGGCTATTTCTAAACTCAGGTTGTTATTTGATACAATTTGATATATACCTATATATCTAGAGGTGTATATCTATATATATCTATAGGTGTATATCAGATCAAGCTAGGGTGACCCCAGGCTTGATTTGAAGATTGCAGGAAGAGATATTTAGTGATTAAAGCAGGGCTTTCTGTCTTTTTGGCATTAATACTTTTTAGGTTTTCTTTAACAGGCAGTTGTCACATTATCACTCTTTTCAGTTTACAAGTTAGTCCCCTTTAACACCGAGCTTAAGGTAATCACTTCCTCCCTTACCTCTTCTTTGTCCACTGTAACTGAAAATAATATCCTCTGAGTACCAGCGCCACCTACTGTTTATATCACTCACATATGCCTATGACACATGATCATTTTGGTTTGATATTAATATTTGGCCTTATTCTCAGTTATAACATCATCAGGGACCGTGATTTTCATATCATCATCATCATGATGAGGGAAACCTATTTTTGTTTAGGTCTTTTGTTGCTGATTTTAAACAAAATAATACTTGCATGTGGTTAAAAAAATCACATGAAATAGAATTTTTCCATGAAAAGTTGTTCTTCTAAGACCTTTGACATGTTAGATATATATCATATACTTGATGGTTAATGGGTATGTTTTGCCAAGAGTCATCTATACAAAATACAGTGGCTTGAGATAACCATCTCAGGAAAAATCATCTCATTCTTACATTTTACTTAACAAGAATTCATGTATCTGCACCAAGATATCCCCCTCAAACCAAAAAATAAATTAGTGTAATTAATAATACTATAAAATTATATTTTACATATATGTATAAAATTCTATTATTTATCTATTTATATGTGAGTTATTATCAGAGCTATACACAAAACCAGCTATATTTTATGGGCAAATTCAAGGATTTATAAAGACAATATTGATATCTCCCTGTTTTCATCTTACATGCTGACTATGGAAGTAACCTGTGTAAGAGTATGAGCGACTCCAGGGAATCCAGAGGCTCAGCCAGTTCATTCATGTATAGTTTATTCCTCTCCATGAGTGTTTTTGCTTGGTGTGCCAAAATTGACTATATCAGAAGATATGCCAATTCATCCTAGTAGGAAGATTCCTAGGATAGGATACAGCAACATGGAAAATTAGGAAGCACTTCAGATTAATCCAGGTATCCACTTAATCAGCTTCATATATTAGGCCCTGAATAAATATGACTGTAATGAAAGTGGGAAGACATTAGACAATATTAATTTGTACGTTATTGACATCAGATGATGCACATTGACAAAACCCTAGAAATACAATAACTATGTAGTGAGGCTATGGCTTAGGATTCTTTGGTTATTCAGTATCATGGTTTTTATAGGACCCCAACACTAGAAATTAAAGAAAAAGATTCCAGTAACACCAACCTAATTGTATGTAGAATAATCTTTACTGGAGAAAATACTTAACAATTGTATAAAAAGCCTACAGTGGATCATTTGTAATCATCCCTGGTCATAGATTTTAGAACCAAAAGGGAACTTTGAGTATCTAATAAGGGCCTTTTATTTTGTGAGTGAGGAGATAGAGATCTGGAAAGATTAAATGATACGCTCATGCTATTTGGGGTGAGGGCAGTGGAGAGCAGAACCGAGCTTCCACAGACCCCCCCAACCCTGCAAAATAAAAGGCCTTTCTGTGACATGTAGACCATAGAGAGCCTCTGGGAGAGCAATGGGCATAGGGATGTTTTGAAGTGGGGGAAATTAGTGACTAAATGAGGGACAGGAAGGAGCTGGTTTACATTTAGTGGTAGTTACTGACTGGAGCACTGTGATGAGGCCATGGTACAGAGTGCTTTTTTTTTTTTTTTTTTTAAGACACAGTCTTGCTCTGTAGCCAGGTGCCAGGCTGGAGTGCAGTGGCTCGATCTCAGTTCACTGCAACCTCCGCCTCCTGGGTTCAAGCAATTCTCCTGCCTCAGCCTCCCAAGTAGCTGGGACTACAGGCGCACACCACCATGCCCAGCTAATTTTTGTATTTTTAGTAGAGATGGGGTTTCACCATGTTGGCCAGGATGGTCTCGATCTCTTGTCCTTGTGATCCACCCGCCTCGGCTTCCCAAAGTGCTGGGATTACAGGCGTGAGCCACCAGGCCAGGCCCACAGTGCTTTTAAGTCTTGCCCTGGGCCTGGGAATGGAGTCTGGACACGTGTGGCAGGCTTTGCATCCTTGTTGCTTCTGCCCTGTGGGCAATTGGGGATTTACTGGATGAAAATGGGTTTTCTTGTGAAAATGGGTTTTCTCGTTATGGAGTTTAAACTACAGAATATCTTCTTCAAGCTATGAAAATAATTCTGTGTGCATGCACCTGTGGGTTAGAACACTCATTCTAACTAATTTGAGGAAATTATCTTATGAGTGAATGAATGAGCACCTTTTATTTCTCTACTCTGCACTCAACAAGACTCGTTCTTTCACATTAGTGGTTCTCAACCAGGGGTGATTTTTTTCCCCCTTCAGGAGACAACTGCCAGTGTCTGGAGCCAGTTTTGGTTGTCACAACTGGGGGAGGGGATATGACTGGCACCTAGAGGATAGAGGCGAGGGATACTGCTAAACATCCTACAATGCACGTGACAGCCCCCACAAAAAAGAATTGTCCCGCCCAAAACGGCAACAGCGCTGAGCTTCAGAAACTTTTGGATAAGCAATTTACGGAGGCAGTAAACTACCACGAGGTGGCGGTACAGCCCCCTGCTGCAATGTTAAACTCAAACTAGTAGTTCACCGTCAGCAGTTGAGCAGTTGATTGTAATAACTATTCTCTTTTTCAAAAAGTACACTTAAATGTTTTTTACATTACGAAAGTGAAATATTCTTTGTGACAGATTCAAATAGTATACTTTAGAAGTGTAAAAGTAAAAAAAGGGGGGGTTCCTGAGTTCCCCTTCAAATCCTCCCCTTTAGAATTGATGTGTATCTTTTCAGATTCTTTTCTTGTGTGTGTATATGATGTATACATATAACTAATGGTGTGATGTTTGTGTTTCATTCACTTTTAACTTTCAACATTATACTGTAGACATCTTTTAAAATAATTTAGAGGTATCTCATTTTTTAAATGGATGCATTGTGTTCTGATGTATGGATGTCCTATAGTTTTTATATATTTTTATAATTTGGCATTTGGAGTCTTTCCGGTTTTTTTCCTGATACAGGCAATTTAATGGTCATGCCGTTATTTCTGTAGAATAGCCTCCTGGAAATGTGAGAGCTGGGTCAGAGTACATTTAAAATATTGATGAATTGGCTGTACTAATTTATACTCTAAAAGTGTAGCAGAGTGCCTTTTTTAAATCTCCCTAACATTGGATACTATCAGTATTTTATTTTTAATATATATTTATTATATTTAATGTTGAATGTCTTTTCTGTGTTTATTTTTTCCTATGTTTATCAGTTAGTCGTAGTTCTTCCCTGAATCGCCTATTCCTTTTCAAGTTTTTATTGGGTTGCTTTCTTTTTATCAATTTGGAGTAGCT